AGTAGGCTAAGGACCCATGCCTGCCATACTCTTTCTGTATGTATCCTAAGAAAAAGAGGAAGAGCTAGTTCTGTTGCAGCACCTTCCAACTTAGGCTTTCTTTTCATTAGTTATTTAGTACAAACACGTTGGAAAAATAGGTCAAAATGTTAAATTTCTCCAGAGAAAATTCCAAAGTAAAGTTTTCTACAAGAAATTACTCTTTTGTGTTGGCAAGTTACTTGACATCGTCAAGAACACTTCGAAAGTAACAACAGCTCAGATTTTGACTGAAGTAATATCACTGGAGGAAACAGAGCTGAATGCTTCACACATGCCATTACAAATATCTTACTTAAGTGTAGCTCAGGTTTTGCCTCCTCACCTGTTAAGGTTAGTGGCTTTTTGGAGAACTATATACAGTATACTAACTGGAATCCTGTTTATCTAGGCAAAATGTAACACAACATCTGCAAAAACATGCTGGGTGCTACAAATAGGCAATGTGTATTGTGCAATTTGGCTGCACAGATAGTCACGTGATTCCTATTTGCACCAATTGCACAGTGCATCTGTGGAAATGCTTTGTTACTAGTAATGCTGCCTTGGTATGATGAGGACTACTGCACACATAACATCAAGTTAATACAAATATAGTTATTCAACAAGATTGTAACTACAGTGGTGCCTCGACTTGTGAACTTAATTGGCTCCGGAACTCCGGTCGTAACTCGAATGGTCGTAAGTCGAAGCACCATTTCCCATAGGAATGCACTGAAATGCAATTAATCCATTCCGGCTAAAGGAAAAAAATCACCAAAAGAAAAGAAAACAAACCATGCAAAACCCATCGGAAATGAGGGGAAAAGCAAAGCAGAAAGCAAACAAACCATGCAAGACCATCAGAAATGGGGGGGGGAGAGACCCAAAAAGCAAACAGACCCTGCAAGACCTATCAGAAATGGGGGAAAAACCCAAAACAAACAAACCTGGCAAGACCCATTACAGCATAGAAACATAATCCCACCACCCAGCCCAAAACCACGCTGCAAAACCCACCCAGAACAGTTTTTTAAAAGTAGAAATCAGCACCTTACCTTACCAGGCACTCCCAAGCCTCCTCCGATCGCACACTCTCTAACCCCAGGTGAAAAGAGCTACAAAGTAGCTGCCTCTTTGCCTACCAACGGTTAGCAATTTGAATTCCCCGCATCTTCCCCTGCCTTTTTCTAGTTGTAACTCAAAGCTCTGGCTGCAAGTCGAAGCAAAATTTTGCAGCCGGAGCTGGTCGTAACTCAAAATGGTTGTATGTCAGGACATTCATAAGTCGAGGCACCACTGTATTGTAATGATAGTGCAATTGTAAAATATACGTATTGGCATAAGAATAGGTGAAGATGATGGATGATACAAAAGGCTTATCTAGTCCAGCCTTTTGTTCTGAACTGGCCAGCCAGTTGGTGATGGGAAGCCAACAAGAAAGACAAGAGTGCAACAACACCCTTTGCCTTATGTTCCCTGGCAGCTGATTTACAGAGGCATATAACCTCTCTGGCAGTATACTGGAAGGAATGTTTGTCTGGCATGACCAGCAGTTATTGACAACCTTATGCTCCAGAAGTTTGCGTGATTGCCTTTTACAGCTCTCTAAGCTGGCAGCCAGGCATAAGTACATCCTGAGGCAGTGAATCCCATAGCACCATTCCAACACTTCTCTTCTTCTAAAAACTGGAAATCACATATTCATATCTGCTTTAAAGGAAAATGCTGGTAAATACAGTCATAGACCTACTGCAGCCCTTCTGATGCCTTCCATGTGTGGTGGACAAAAAAACCTACATGCTGGCTGGAGATAATGGGAGTCATGATCCAACTCAGCTGGCGGGCATCAGTTAGTCGAAGGCTGATCTTCTCCCTGGCTCCTGTTTTTGCCCTTAGATTCAATTCCATAATGTGCTATTTTCATCTTTTTAAAAATGACACAAGAGCTAAATATCTTTTTAGAAAACATACTGAAAGCAAAGCAATATATTTGCTAATATTAGACAGTGTTGGCAGGATGTTGTTTGAGAGAGAATTTAGAAGTGTAAATGAGAAAATAAGGTCACAGTGTGTTACGTATATGAGTGCTTGTCTCTTGCTACATGAAGTATTTACCAAACATTTGCAGGCAGTTCTCTCAGGGTTTCATTACGAAAGATGCAAACATTCTGTGAGAGGAGCATTCAGAATGAGCTGTGTTGGGCACATGGCCAATGATGTATTGCCATTTACATCTTTTGTTCCACTTACAGATATGGCCCTTGTGAGTTATTGTTGTCTCCATTCTCAGCACTCATTCACAATTAAAGATTGCCAATATGTGGCCTTCCAGCACCAGGAGCTGAATTGCATCATGTTTGTTAGATACTGACACTTTCTCACTGCCTGTTCCATGCTTCCTCATCACTGCAACTAAGTAGAACATCTTCATTATCAATCTCACCAATGAGAAAACAGAAAATGACATTCGTTTCCATTGTAGCCAATCTTTCTCAATCCTCCATGTCAGTTTGTTTATTCTGGAGAAGGTAACTCTCCAAAGACCCAGTTCATACAAAGAGACCAAGGTCATGCTATTTTAAAGAGCGACGATTCCTCATTCATTTCTCTTCATTCAATGTATACACTTCTATAAAGGGTAGTACAAAGCATATCTGACTACAGATATAGCATATCTGAGCTACAGATTTTGTGACGGGGGACTTTTTGGGTATAGTGAACACACACACACACACAAGTCTGTAAGCATATTTATAGGCTAGTTAACAGAGTTCATAACATTCTATTGATATAACGAATATTCACAAATTTTCTTATTCACAACCAAAAAGAGTACCATGACACATAAAGACACTCTGTCAAAAAGAAACTCCTGCCAACTACTGGAAGATTTGATTTGATTTTTTTTTACTTCACTTAATTTTCATTTTTTGCTCCTGCATAAGGCTAAACAACATAGTACTATAATCCAGTAGCAGCAGAAACAAAAACTGTAGTATTTGGCCACAAAACCTGTTTATTTTGTGAAAAGTCTGTTTTTGTGCAGAATACAGTATTTTTGTGCAAAATGCAAAAAAAGCACGAAGACCCCTCGACTTACCCAGCAAAAAGAAAACAATTTCCCCATTCATAATTGTGAGCATGAAATAAGAAAATATTTACGTATCTACATGAATCAGGAGACCAGATGACACCTTCTGACTCAACAGGTTCATTCAATGTTACAACAGCATCATTGGATCAGCCCACTGGGAGATGGTGTTGGTCTCACTTTGCTAAAGCACTCTCTGGATGGTTTACAACACAATTACATAAACTACAACTCCCTCCTCCGCATACTCATACGGATGGTTTACAACACAATTACATAAACTAGAACTCCCTCCTCCGCATACTCATATTACCAACCTTGGAAGGATAGAAGATTGCGTCAACCTTGAGCCAGCTAACTGACCATGCTCAAACTTGAACTCAGATCATGAGCTTCACTGCAGTATTGCAGTTTAACCATAAATTATACCCATAATGCTAAAGCAGAAGTGTGCAATTTGCACAATCCCAGTGGTTGCCCACATCCATTCTTGGACCTTAGAGCATTATACCTGGGAGAAAAATCTTTTCACTGGAAATGGCCTCTTGTGCCCTCGGTTGGCCATTTATTTTGAGACAGCATCATCCTGCGGCCTCTAAGAAATAGCAAAAATGCATCCCATGCCCCCAAATAGCATAAGTGGACTTCTGAGTCCCTTAAACTTTGAGCTGAGAGATAGGAAGACCAAGGATACTGCACTTCTGCCCTATGGGCTCCCCTCTGTGTGCAGCCCATAGGCCACACTCTGCTCACTGCACGCTAAATACATGCATGAAGTCAGCACCCCCTCCATGTGCATTCTTTTCTATAACTCAGTACAAAATACAATGGAGAAAGGACACAAAATATCTGCTGCAGCACTATTCCCTAAGGCAATTCAATCTAAAATTGTCAAGGACAGCTTTACTTTAAGTACCCCGAATATATTCCATGACAAAAAGGAATACAGCCTCTTCTCTTCCTGCCCTGATTGTGGAATACCCTCTTCATGAAGGTGTAAACTGTGCCAATATTACAATCATTTCAGCATCAGCAAAATAATTTTTTGCTTGTCCAGGCATTTACACTTTAATTTGTGGATATTATTTTTTCTCTTCTTGCTGCCTTCTCTACTTGGTTATGATTCTGCTCTTTTATTGTTTGCTTTTTGTCATAGTAGTAAATTTGTGCTATTTTAAGCATGCTTTTCAACACTGCTCTAAAACCTACCAGGATGAAAGCTCCTTTTAAAAACTTTTAATAAAATTGTGATTATTGGGGCAATCACCAGCAGGTGCTAAATCGTGTATCCTAGTACCAGCAGAAATTTCTTCTTTTCTTCTTCTGAATGCGTCAGCCCTCTATGCTGCCTAAAACCTAGTTCTAGAGAATTTTGCAGCCCTGAAGATGTGGTTTTGAATGTGTATAAGTGGACACCCTTATTCCTTGTTCAGCTGGATCCTGCCATTCCAACTGTAGTATGCTGCAGTTGGATATGTTCAAGGAAATCATGCCCACAGCTCAGCATCAATAATCGTTGCCTTTGTCTCATTTATTAAGCTGTGTCACATATGCTGCCTAATTTGGGTTGATGCAGATACTGATGGGTCATCATAATCTTTGTCACAAGACAAGCAGATGCTGGGGGGGGAATCCATCTTGGAGCTACAGCTGTCAAAGTTGAACTAAGGAGTGCACAGTTGTAATTCCTCAGTTTACACCAACTATGTTGGCCTTGACACTGGGTCAATGTGGTGATATGTTACTGGCAGAAGTGGCAGCTATTGGCAGAACAGTGTAGGGTTAGCCCCTTAACAGCAGCTTAGACGCTGTTCCATCTCAGGAAGACAGTTCTTTTGTTGACAAGGCAACAGGCATCAAACAACATCTGAGCAACTGGCAATCTTACCTTTACAGGCCACATTGTTCTCAGGCTCAAATCCAGCCTTGCAGGTACACCGGCCAATAGGAACCATCCACTCCCCATCACCATTGCAGTACAATTTAATCGGAACATCCACCTCTTCAGCATTGGGAATGCATGTGCCCCGTGCAATCACTAGGGAGGTGCTTTCGGCTCCTGTCATTGTCTCTGGGAAGATGGCAAAATTCTGCACCACACTGGGGCATTTCTTAAAGAAGACCCTTACTGACAGGAGGGACATGCATGCCCCATAATCCTGAAAGGCAAGATAGAAGCCATTGCGATTGAGGGGACCAAAGCTCCTCACCTCTGTGTTCACTTTCATCAGCCTACCACCAAAGTCCACCTGTGAGAAACTCTCATCTGCAGCAATAGTGTCCACCTTGAGGTAGGGGGCTTCTGTCCAAAACGCTGACTTCTTGGTGGCGATGACAGAGTCTGTTTCATAGTAATACAAGTTGAAGGTTTCCTTGCAGGAACCAGGGACATTGGGTAGGCTGCTGCAGTCCCGCACGGTGAAGCGCATCTCTGTGTAAATACGGTGTGCACCCCGTCGGTTTATGAACGTGGTGAGAAGCCAGTTATTCTGGTTGGGCTCAAAAACATTGCACACTTGGTAGGTACGGATTGTGTTGAGATTCTCATCATAGCCACTGACTTCTTCCCACTGTATGGGGCAAAGAAAAGGAAAGAAAGTTGGAGATTAGGCAATTAAAAATAGTGGTGGTGGGGAAAGAAAGACAGAGATAGAACTTTAAATTATGGAGCAATTATTCACTACAAGCTGGCAGGGACACATGGTATTAGAGGAATGAAATGTTCTACTTTCACTTATTCAAACATGAGAGATATTTCTAATATTATGGTCTGTTTAAATACCCATGAATGTAGAAATAGACAATGAAAAACAAAGTCAATAGTCTATGAGCTCTTGACCCAGTTTTACACACACACACGCACGCACAAATGCACGCGCACGCACACACACACACACATACGTAAAGGCCAGCAAAATGACACGTTTAATTTTTATTCATATCCTAACCCTCCTCTTGTAGCTGATGCAGCTACAAATCGTCTCATGTCCTGAAGAGTCTCTGAAAAAGATTTTCAAAATCAACAAATTTCTGCTTTTCTGGTGCTTTGGCCTCTTTTAACCTCTAACTGCCAGAGCCACTGTAAACCTGATGCTTTTCTGAGAAACTCACTCATCATGGACCAAGCTAGCAAATATTTAAATGTATTTGTAACAGAAAAACAAAAACAAAACAGTGAGCAAGAATTAATTTCAAAGAAATTAACAAACCAGTCTAATACAAATTATTGCACATTAACTGGTGACTCAGTAATTCTTTTAAAGTTATACGATATGTCATTCCTTTAGTAAACAGAAAATATTTTCAGCTTAAATTGTGGATACATTATCACATGGAAAATCATATATCTGTCTCAGAGAAACTGTGTTCATTATGTTATTTGCATTTCTGCATCATCTTTCAGTTTCATGCTCTGAAAATAAGGTTGGGAGTTCAATTCTTCACTGTGCCTCCTTGACAGGGGCTGGACCTGATAATCCATAGGCTCTGCAGTTCTAAGATGATGATGATAATGATACATGAGAGCCAGTGCAGTGTAGCGTATAGAGCATCAGACTCTGGAGACCTGGGTTCAAATCCCTGCCTGGTCACAGAAACTCAGTGGGTGGTGACAAGGGTAAACCAATCTTAAAACAACTGATATAACTCCAAAACCCTATTAAAGTTACCATACATCAGAAACAATATGAGACCACATATTACACGCAAAGGGAGACACACACATCAAAATAATATTACCAATGAACATCAGAAAAGAGATGGCAATATCTAAAATAGAAAAATAGTTGAGCTAACGTGCTTAGGAAGAAATCTCCTTGATGAGAGAGCCCATGTGGTGTTGAACACAGAGTGTCAGATTAAGACTCAAAAGACTTGAGTTCAAATCACTTATCAACCATGGAAATTCACTGGGAGTGGGGGTAGCAATGATAAACCTTAAAAACTCTGTTAGGGCTACCACGATGACACACAACCACCACCATACCTCTCTGAACTAAAATCCAGCAGTAAGTTATAACTGGAGTAGGCCAATTAAATCAATGAGAATTTGGTGACTCACCATTGTAAGTTCCATTGGTTTAAAGAGCCTACTCTTGCTGTGACTTACTACTGGATTTCAGTCAGTGGGATTTGCTTCTGAAAGATATATTCGTATTATTCCATTCCAAGCCTTCAGTCCTGTACACTTAGAATATGAAAACTGTGATCCTCCATATGCTTAAGACTTCAACTTCCATCAGACTTTTCAGCCATCAGAAATGATGAAAATGATGTGATATTGCAGTCCATCAACTTTTGGGGCCTCATACCTTTGTTATAAACACCGAGCCCCATGGCATGCTTGGTGTAAACCCCAGTGGTGAACTGCCACAAGTTAAGAAGTTAGTGTAGGTTTTGCTGTTGTGCACTGGGTCACATGACTTGGAGCGGAACATCAAATGCCTACTACTACTGACCTCTTAACTTAATCCACCACTGAGACGAATGCCAATTACATTACTCCAAAATAAAAATGCAACAGGATTTTGGTGACGATGACTACTACTACTATTACTTCTGCTGCTACTGCTACTAATACCTTTTGGTTTTGCTTTTGTTATTACCAGAGACAGATATGAGGAAGCCAAGAAAATCATTGGAGCAGATGAACTTTTTTTAAAATATACACTGTGTGTTTGGTGGGCAAAAATTGCAGAGCTGCAAAGAAATCAAAATGAATGAAGATATTCTTTTTTTAATAGCAGGAGGAATGTGTTGAGGATTTATTTCTTGCAAGTGCAGGGACATGTGGGTGAGTATATAAGGGAGGGTGAGAGAATTAGGATCACTTTGACAGAAATTACATCAAAACTGTAATGAAAAAGCAGAGAGGAATCATCATACTGCTTTCTTTTCAGGGCTAGGGCAAGATTTGAAAGTAAGAAAGCCCAAATACACAAGCCGTGCTTCAACGTAGCTGGCTACCCACCTAGCCAGGTGATAGGAGATTTGAGTGTACCATGATCCTCAAGTCTGTATTCCCAACCTGAAGGATCTGAAGGAAGTATCAAGATGGTAGAAGCACTGGCCTGAAGAAGCTGCCCCAGTCATCTGCTCTATACCAGGTTTCCAGAAGAATCTGTTTTAGTTTGCCCGCACGAGTTGCCAGCCTGTCTCACATGGAGCTATCCAAGGTGCTGCCTGTTTTACTTGGACTTTGCCTTACTTGACATGTGCTTTCTGCCTTTAGCCTTGCTGTATTAGAAGGCTGGTACTGTAAATGTGTGACCTCCAAAAATTATGAAACTGCAGCTCCCATTATCTCTAACTGGTGGTTGTTATAACAGCAGCAGCTTATCTCAAAGAGTTTCCTCAAAATTCCTGGGGCAAGGAGAAAACTTCAAAAAGACTTCTAGATTGTGAAATTATAGTTCTCAGGTTCATCAACCAATTTTGATTCAACTACTCTATTCAATTTAGACATAATTAAAAATCTATTGTGTTATGAAGAGGCTACTAATCTTATTGTGAGCAGTGCAGAAACATTGCTGGTCTGTTATTACCTTATGTTATTACCTGTTTCATGCACTTTTGGACCTAGTGTTGTACAGGGACCTGCTTCATTCAGTCTCTAGTCTACAAATGCTTATGCCACAAAAGAGCCATTAATTATTTCGATAGGCATCGGCAACCCCTGACATTTTGGATAACAACCTACAGAATCTAAGGTCAGCTTAGAATCTAAGCCCTGACTAGGGCTTATGGTAGCTGTAGTGAAAAACATCTGGAAAGCATGAGTTTGCCTACCACCAATTTAAGGTGCACACAGCTCTTGGGTTTTGCTGCTATAGCCTAATGTGGCAGCCATGGGAAATGGTGAGCAGAGAAATGTCAGCAGATTTCAACAAGGGTGGAAAGTGCTTCACTCTGATTATGGCTATGTGGGGAGAATTCCTAGCTTAAGGGCACTAAGCTACTACAAGCTAATTTCAAACATTATAGTGAAAATCACCTCTGCTAAATACCATGCTAGCAATTCCAGAGCTCTCCCCCTCCTTGTCTCCATCTGCTAACATGCTACAATACAAATGTCTTTTCTGGTATAACAGTCCTGGAATAATGAGGCTATTGAGTGGGTGTTATATGATCATAAATGCAGGAGGAGAGGTCATTGATGAAATCAAATATGGGAAGTGGATGTGGGGAATGATACTGTTGTCCACATGTGGCTGAGGGAAGACGGGAAAATGTGAGAAAACTTGCTCCAGGCAAGGCTCTCCATTTCTCCATTTTATGAATGGCACATCCATCAAAACTGACAAAGAAAAGTGTGCCAATTTGGAGGTGGATTAATGAAAGGGCATTAATGTAATGTTGGCTACTGTGGAAATTAAGGGGCAGGGACAATGTGTGCCTGGGCTTATGATGGTATGAGAAGCTCACAGCCCAATTTACAAGCCCTCCAAATTGCATTGTGTTTACAAGCTGATTGTTTGCCACGGCATTATTCATACAGCAGCCTTTAAGTGCTGCTCTGGATGCGATGCATAATTCCAAGGTGCTCTGGTGCCACTGAAGCATGAATTAATGGCTGTATCACAGCATGTGATCAGAAGGATTTTTTGTGGAGATGAGAATATTACATATGTAAGCAGAACTGTGTGGTGTGAAATGTTAGACTGTCATGTAGATGAGCTGACAGCATGTGCGAAATGAATCGAACATTATTATGTGCACATTAATATACATATTTTTATTATATGCATAAAGGCTGAAATCCTGTTGTCCAGTGATGCAAATGATGTAACTTTTAGAGATAACTTGCTTTTAAGTTAAGAAATCTCTGCAAATCTTATTTGTTACATGCAGTGATGTGCAACAGATAATGTCTATGGAAATTTTTATGGCAATTCATTTCCAAAAGTTAAAAGTCTTTGAACAACAGGATTTATGCTAACAACATCAAGGATTTTTTTTCCTCATTCCATTTAAAAAAAAACAGAACAGTCTTTCCTCATTAAACTTCATTTCTGGAACAAAATTCTGATTAACAGAGAAGTCTCACAAAACTGTAACGTGACCACCAGTCAACCACTACATCCTTTCTGGATAGCAGTAACAACTCCACTAACTGGTATATGTGCAACAATACAAAATTAATTGAAAAGCATGTACTTTTATAAACATACTTTAATCTTAGATTTTATGACAAGTGCATCTGTCGGATGAAGGCATTGTTTCTAGCCACGGTAGTAATTTCTTTATATACACTTTATCATTCATTCAAAAGAAAAAAATCCACAATCCCACAAAGAGTAATATTAATATATTGTGTTGACCACTATAAATGCAACTTCCCCTCTTGTATCAGCACAATGTTTAAATGGAAGAGCAGAACCATTGTTTAATGGTTAAAACTGCAGAGATTATCAAGGTGAGTGAATGGGACTTTTAAGCAAGTTATCTATATATATCTTCCTTCCATATATACAAGTAACTAATTCAAAGGACTCAGTAAAAGTTCTTACTAAGGAATTTGGGTGCCGATCTTGAGAGAAAGATGGTATAATTAATTAATTAATTAATTAAC